GCTGTCCCGGAAAACTAAAATATAAATCTAAATTTTCCACACACTAATATTATATTCACAATTATATGATATTATAATACACGGGTAAAACAGTAGATTCGTAATATTATTATTATTCATTAAGCCGATGTAATGCTTACCAGCGTGAATGCAACAAACTAATACGATTTGTATGTAGGCAGAAGACGCATCACGTATTTTGTTAAGTAGCCAAGTAGATAGTAGGCAGTCGCGGAGTGGTAAAAAAGGGCGTGGGATGCTACATAATTTAAAGGGCAAATAAAACAAATTTTAAATAGTAGGCTATTTATAAAATATTTAAACAATGCGATTTTGATTAATGATAACACATTATCTGCCATAGAGTAATACCATTGATTAAACAGCATGCTCATCGCCCCGTTTTATCCTTAGAGAATTAAGTGCTATAGTTATATTATTGAAAAAAACATTGCATTTACATCATCGATATAATATTTATGAGGTCTATGATTCGCATGCCTGCCTATTCTATTATAATGATCAGTGAGTTTTTGGTTACAGCTGTATTGACTGCTTATAAGGAGCCTTGTATTAAATTTTTAAGCCAGACAATGTATTCATCGGGAACATCGGGAAATTCCAACAATATAAATTGATAGTGTATTGCAGATTACATAATATTATGTAATTTCGTTTTCTATCATGTCGAAAACTACCAAAATTAATATTTAGATGACGAGCAATTACATATTGGTTTTTGTTTTGGCACAGATTATACATACACACGTCTTATATGTTTTTAAAAATCGAGCAATTAATTTAATATGAATTAGGTATCTATGTTATATCATATTCTCTTTCGAAAAAAATGAACCGGCTACAATAGTCACATTGAGTATTATTCGTTGTCCAGGAGATATTTGTTATAATTTTTATTATAATACGTTCGTACGGTCAGGAATATAACACTACACTTTCATCTTCAGTATAGTTCAGATTTCACATCTAACTTTTCTGTCTCAATAATTATTTTATTGTCTTTTTATAATATAGTTATTATACTAATTATTATCTATTATAGGTCGGAGAGAGCCTTCTAGCTATTAGTAAATCTCTTAAAACCTCGCGGTAGGTATAAACGCATTCCAAAAAAAATGAACACAAAACACCAAACAAGTTCCGGGTATTCAGATGACCTAGACACGGCAGTTGGGAGCATGTGGTGCGCGTCCCAAAGGTCGATTATATCAAACTGTAGCACCACCACGGTTAATGCTCAAATGTATACGGAAACTGGATTTAATTAAGGAGATACAACGATAACGGATTTTACAAAGAAGGGACCATTGGTAGCTGAAATTACAGGGACGCTGGACGAGCTGTTCGAAGAGATACGCTTGGCCTTGATACGGAGCAAGTACTTGGTGCCGATTCGCAACTGCAGCTCATCTGCGTTATGTGACTCGGACGACGACGATTCTTCGGACGAAGACGAATGTCGGCACAGATCTTCGGATGTGCGTTTACCAGAAAAGACAACTGCAGAAATAGTTGCAGTAAGTACGCTCAATTATTTCAGCGTGAAAAAAGACTGCCCAGACAAACGGCAAACTGACGAGAACACTGATCCAAATTTAACATCGCGCCTCTGGTCAGAGTTCGATGAGCGAATGAACGCGTCATTTAGTTCGGAAACGCAGTCTGAGTTTCTGTGGTCATTGGATTTGGAGGAACAGTGGCCATCGGACAGGGAGTCTATTTCAGAATCGGACCAAAGTCTGAGACCTGAAATACTCCCTTCGGACTGGGAAGCTAATTCAGAGTCGTACCAGAGTCTGAGACCTGAAACACCCCCTTCGGACTTATCATCAATACACGTTGAGAAAGTGTGGCCATCGGACTCATCATTGAACTCGGGGGTAAAGTGGCCAACCGACGATGAACAATCTCTGCCATCTAACTTAGAGCAGACTTTGAATTTGGGACGTTGCTCAGCATCGCATTCGGAGCTTAAGTTTGCCTGCACGATTGATGAAAAATTGGTGCCGCCAAACATAGAAAATCAGACAATGCCATCGATGTCAGAACTCTCTTCAACCTTGCATTCGGAGCTTAAGTACGAATCGGACGATAGACAACTGCAGCCCCTAACTGTAGAGCAGACATTGCCAACAGAATCGGCGCCAAAGACGGAATTGCACTCGGAGCTGATGTCATCAAAAAGCAGCAAAAGGCAATTAGGCCCATCAGATTTTAGCCAGATGTGGCTGTCAGACTCTGACCTAAGATCGGCCTCGTACTCTGATTTAGCGGGGTCAGTGAATGAAGATAAATTGTGCCCTTCAGAGTTAAATCAAAAGTGGCCGTCAGGTACATCGCTCTCGGAGCCAATTATGTCCGATGTGGAAGATGATAAAACCTTTTCAATTGCTGAAGAGGAAATCTTGCCATTTGATGATGAAGAAAATATTGTGCCATTGGAGGAAGAGGAAGAGATAAACGTGATAAGTATTGATGAGGATGAAATAGAAGCAACGGAAAAACAGCCTGCACCTATACGTAGGTCATTCCTGTCCGCACTAGGTAGGCGAGTCCTGAGTGCCGGAAGGATACTGTTTTGCTGCGGTGGCTGTGGACGTAACCGTAAACAATTACCGACTAAATGGAAATATGTTCCCCGTGCGTCGCGAGTCCGTGAATGAGTAAGTCATACGCGATTACATGTTTTCAGCCAGCACTCCATGGTGGCTATTTAAATACCTGCCACGCAGCAGTGTAACTGGCACCTGAAAAATTCTTTTCAACATTTGATCTAACCTTTCCATGATTATCTATATAATATTTTTAAAAAACTAAAAAAACTATATTGCACAATGTTTAAAATAATTACTTTTTTTGTTTATTCGCATATTAAACTATATGAAAAAAAAAATATTTCATTTTAATGTTATTAATTCATAAGGAAGTGAGAATATATTGTAAAAATGCTTTGGATGTTTATTAAAACATCACCAGATTGTTTCTGCCACACCTATCTCTAATGGCTAATCATTATTCATTAGCCACTAGTATGTTCATTAATAATTAGATTGGTCATAATTTATAACATCTTCATGACCAAGATATAAGTCTATGATAACATTATTAACATGACACACCTATTTGATGATTTAGAACTGTTTTACAATGTTCAGTGTAAAATAACAGTAACTGTTATTTTGTCAGTACCTAACAAACAAGTTAGCATCACTCTGTAGATGAAAATAATACATACATCAGATTAACAAAGTCACTCCAACAATACTATCAACGTCCCCCTCGATAAAAAACACTATATTTCTCACAAAAAACACATATTACAGTGCAATTTGAATCATAATAATATGTATGTATGATATATCTTACTCATTTATTATTAAATTACTTTAATATTTACTTTGCGTAATTAATTATTAAACGTTGCATTTTTTTTCAATAAAAATAACAATGTGATAATACACAACTCACAAGTCAAATAATTTATGAGAAATCAGAACATCACCATTACCATTAAAAGGCTATTCTTTACTACCATAAGCAAAAAAAAATTAACTATTTCCATGAAATAAAGTCACAGTTCACAATTTAATGAAATAATTCAAGTATATCTTTACCAATCTAAATTCAATTTGCGGTTGTACTATTAAAAAAAAAATTATACCAATACTAATTAGAATAATACTATATTTCAATAAGTAAAATGTTTAGTTTAATATTTGGATCAACTGATTGCTAAATCCACAGCGAGCAACTTGTTTATTGCCTATAATAAATTCCAAAACATCAGATTATGTGTAAGTAATTTGAGCCTGAAACAAAATAAAAATTAAACCCAAACTTTAAAAATATAAATTGAAGATGCAGGTATAGTTAATAATTGTATTTGGCCGAGGGGGTAATTGCAGTAAGTTAACAGAATAAACTGTTCAAATATAAAGAAATTTATAACAAAAAAAGTAATCCCTTGTGGGACTCTTGGCAGATGTGAAACAACAAAATTGATGGTTATAATGGAAAAAATAAGAAAAAAAATTAATTGAAGAAAAATATTCAGTTTGTTTTAAGGAAGTAGGCATATTGTTTGTATTATTCTTACTATAAATTATAATATGTTTAGAATATAAATAGAAGACAAATAAATATTTTTAATATAATTGTTGTTCAAGGAATTTTGTCATAAGGATTGAAGCGTTGTTTGCAGAACTACAAAATATTACTTATACTATTATTATTATTTTTTTTTTTCATGTAAATTACTGCCATTGGTTACAAATGTGTTATTATTGTGCATAGTGCAGTTAATAGTCACATTGCTTCACAAGTAAGTTTTTAAAAATCACTTTTTGGTATTATTTCTAAGATTTCTTTATCTTATAGATCTTCAGTAAGTCTGGCTGATGGGATTGTACTTTTTAAGAACAAGAATTATTCAGGATTTTATGAAAGTGAAGAAACCGTATAATTTACATTAATTACTATTTTTGATGCTCTTAATAAACAATTAAGTGCGGAATGAATTAAAAAATAATAGATTGTATAGGGAAGTATTTAGATATTAATTATTCTATGATATTGTATTTAATTCTAGTTGGATAAATGCTTCTTTAAGTTTTATATTTAACTATTAACACAATTTTCTAAATTATTAAACAAAATAAATAATATTTTTATACTTTTGTAATGCACATTATAATTTTGTAGGTTTATTGTATTATAATATTTATTTATGTAGTATATTTACATTTTTGGGGGAAATTGTATTGTCAAATGGTCGGACAACTGGGAAAATAATTTAAATAATAATATAATAAAGAAAGACAAATGTTTGATACAACAAACAGCAGAAGATCTAAGAGTAATTCTGAAGTCAACAATATATTTAGTCAATTATCTTCTTAATGACTGTGGTTTTGTTTATGTTTTAACCAGTTAATTAAATCAAGATCGTTTAGAGGTAAATAATTAAAAATATTTAGAAATATGTGTAGAATTCTCATATATTAATAAACCTAACTATGAAATTATATTACATTCATTCCAGAGGTTCTTTGGTATTATAAAACTAGTTTCAGAAGCTAATGACCATCCATTGACTGCAACTTTCTTGCAACTATACCATATGTTTCTATGTAGTATTCAATTTTCATACCACTTAAAATGGGTAATTGTAGTATATTGGAAGGTAGCAAATGTTTTACACCTGAAAAGAAGAAATATAAAGTTAGAAAAAGTTTAAAAAAATATATAGTTACCTACTCGTTTTTATTTAAATAAAATGTCATAGTTAACACCATAAGTGATTTAAAAAGTATAATGAACTATCTAAAAGGTACAAATGTAAGACAGAAAAAAGTTAAAAATTGATGTTATTGTTAAAGAGGGTTATTATACTTTAGATGATATGTTAAAGATCAAGTTATAGTAATTTTGATTCAACAGTATTTGAATGTATAGTTTATTTCTTAGCTGGGTACCTAAATCAAATTAATTGTTAATTGAATAGTATTACATGTTTTTATATTATTATATTCAGTATAGTTTTTATTTGTGTTATAGGTATATAACAAAGAGACAATTAAAACAAACTAAATGTAAAGATGTAAGTCCAGCTTGTAAGTTTCTAAGGGTAATTCATCTAATTCAGCAGTAGATTTAGTCAATTTGAAAACTAGAGGATTTTTAACTCACATAAATCAAAATGTGTTCAAATTATACATGCAGGCTCATCAAATTCATTTGATGACACATTTGAAGAATTCTTCTGCACCGAGAATTGAAAGTTGTGTTTTATATGTGTAGATCATAAAACTAAAGTTTTAACGGATATATATGTGTAATATATATTCTAAACCATTAGTAACATAAGTAAATATTATTATTCATAAATTATAAAATAGAACCTACAAACACTTATAAATATATTTATTTTTATTATTTTTTCTGTTTGACTGAAATATTTAAAATTTAAATTGTGTACTTGTGCCTTGTATACTCTTTTTTTCCTGTTTAACCGACAATACCTTGTAGTCTGTTGACTCTTCTGATAAAAAGAAGACTGTTCATCAAATAGAATTTTCTATATACTACATTTTCTTTATAGGTCTATGATTCATCATACCATTCATAACTCATAACTAATAAAATGTTTATGTTTGCTCAAGGTAGTATTCAATGTTAGGTTCAATAATTAATAAGATATAAAACAGGCTTGTGACAACAGGCCTGTTATACAAAAGTGCCACAAATACTCACAAATCAATACTCACATATTATGACTGTGTTGAGTGGCAGATTCAATCTCATGCAAAATGCACTGGGGAATGTTAACTGGGTATTAGAGCTTAATTAATAAAATACAAAGTGCGGGCCCATAGGCGTGCAACCATCTAGTTACAGCCACTGACAAATAAATAGTCTGCTACTACATTCAAACCACGCACAGGAACAATATAAAATCAACAGAGTTTCTGGTTAACATAAAGGACACCCTAAACTGGGAAAACAAAATTAGTATAAAATATTGGTTGTTGTCTCGAACAATAGTTACCGAACAATGATATACAATTTTCACTGAAACATGGGTTTAAGGAAGACGAAAAAATGACTCCATACAGTTGCTTTTGATAGAAACAAATAAACATTATGCAGCGACGAAGGTGCTTTGATGACAACCAAAAAACCAGTTTCAAGCTTGATGTGTGCTAGTCGTTGGAAAGCAACGAGCAAGCAACGAACAAAACTAACATGAACGGCTTTTAGTATGACCTTAAATGCACGAACGATTAAAAGTATAGATTTTATGTATTTTAATCATGGCTTCACGAAACATAAAAAAAATATGAACATTTAGCTGTGATTATGACTATGAGACCATGACTAAATAAATTTATTTAGTCATGTATGAGACTGTGTTACTGCGAGACTTCGAGAGTATTAGAGTATGAGACTATTGATACTATAACATTCATAATAATTATTCATTACACATTTACACGTTATATTTTAATGTGAGTAAAGTTGCCAATATTGTCAGTCGCTCATTATCAGACGGATAACGGCCGAGCCGTTATCACACCACAACAGTGAAACCACAATATCAGCGGATTAAAGGGGACGCAAGAAAAACAAAAAGAACCTGGCGCGAACAAATAATACCACAGAATAGATTAAATACATTCGAATTTTTATTTTTTAGTACCTACCTTAAATACTTGCAGACTTGTAGACTACAATACCACCCTAGTACCCTACACACCACAACAGTTTCAGTTAACAGCAAACCTACAATATTTAGTACAGTGTAGCGATTAACAACATCAACGTATCGTAAGCCGTAACATAAGTTATTGTCATAGTCTATAGTTCTTATTCTAATATTCTACTAGACAGGCAGAGTTGTATGGAAATCTGTTGAATGTTTAAAATTTGAATGGCGCTTTTTATTTACTCGTTTACTCAATATGTATGGTAGTGCATGGTAGTAAGGTAAGCTGTATAGATTATATTGTATTTGGTCGTCAAGAGCATGACTAAATAATTAAAAAATTTAGTCGTGGTTAAGAGATTGCTCGTACCTAATGCTGTTGTTATAGGTAAGGTACACAATTCTTGTCTAGCAATATAAGGTCTATGATTGTTATAACCACAAATTATCAATTATTATCATATTATACTATAATTTAAGTACCTATAGGTATACTATTCTATGCATAATTTTGAAAATAGGGCAACTTCAAGAAAATAATAATTATTTATTTAAGTTAGTTAAGTTAAGTGAACGTTAGTTATAAGTTATAATACCTAGTTAATACATGCATTTATCAGAAAATTTTTTTAAGTAATATAGAGGGAAATATTGTAAGGTAGGTTAACCTAACTCGGTTAAAAAGAATTTAATTTTTTTTTTTTTTAACATCACCCAGGCGACAATTGGTGTATCGTTCGTCTTGCAACTTTCAATTTTTTTGATTAAAACAAAATATTTTGTTAAAAATGAATCTTACTATTCTTTCTTATTCCACACTAGCTGTAGTGGTTTAAAAAATAATTACACTTTCATTTCAACTTTTTATATTAAATCATAACATGTGTATATTTGTTTTTATTTAAAATGAGTGTGTACTTATATACTTATACTCATAACATTTGTATTAAACAAAAAAGTAACACGTTGAATTATTAATAATAAATAGATATGTATAAGTGTAAGTATAAACTTATTGTTTTTTTTTTCAAATGGATTGGAATAATTTAATAACTAATAGTTATTACTAAATGAATACCTTAGCTAGTTAAGTTAGGTACCTTGTACCTATTAAGTAAAATGGAAATTAAACAACTATAGTTACTAAAGTAAAAAAAAATTAATTTTTTAATGTCTACTTTTGCGATTTCGTGACTATTTGTTGGAAAATCATAACGCTGCAGCACTTCAGCACTCGTCAAAAGAATACATTTGGTGCGTTTGAAGTATAAAAAAGAAAATATGGCCACATTGGACATGATATCTGCATGGTATATTTATAGACTAGGTACAAACAATATAAGTATTATAGATTTATCACATATAATATTACATTATTACGTCATCTCGGTGATCATTGTTTACATATTTGTATACTTCCTAACATATACAGTGGCTTGATCTCAGAACGTAAAAAAATACAAAACCTTCAAGATTTAAATTGTTGACTAATGACTATGTATATGAATAATTCATAATATGTATTACATAATATTTACCTATACCACAGAGCTATAATTGTATTACAGTCGTCTCTCGATAATTCGAAGTTGACGGGACTGTTGAAAAACTTCGAATTACCAAGAATTCGAATTGTTGAGTAGTTCAAAATAACGAGAGGGCATAAAACAATTCAAATTACACTCTTAAGAAAACAATTTTGTTTTTTATTATTGTACATATTAATTATTTCAGTAAATTAGGTAGTACGTATTAGAGTTATTTATTGTTTTTTAATTTAAAATTAACTATATAATAATTATTCTATGTAAATTAAATGATTATTATAGAAGATTATTTTTTTTTGAAGAAATCTGTAATGGTTTTCTGCTTCATCGAATTTAGTTTCATTTTACAATAGTATTTTCTATAGTAAATAAAGCATCAAAAACCTCAGCAGTGAGTCAGAGTTCTGACTGGAGCAAAATGTTTCTTAATTTTTCCAAGGATGAACTGGCTTCTTTTTTAGTCACAAGAGGTAGAGGACTTGTGTCCTCCTGTGAATAATAATTCTATAGTTATCGAAAATTAAAAGCTGAATTTCTACATGATTGTATAGTAAATTATTAACAAAAAAATTATAAGAATACAGATAAAATACATTTGGTGAATATACTTCGAATTGCCGAGCGTTTAACGAATTATACTTCGAATTGTCACGTGTTAGTGGCCAGTTTTCCCATTATTTAATTTCGAATTACCGAGTGTACTTAAATGCATTGTTTTTATTCGAATTACCGCGTGATTTTCAAAGGACCGAGTATTTATTTCGAATTATTGAAGGTTTGAATTATCGAGAGTCGACTGTATATATATATAACTAAACTGAATTCATTTTTACTGGGAAAAAAATAAATCATTATAAAACTATTTTCCCTGAACAAATTGTGTGATGTGCTGCGAAAAACAATTTATGAGGCTGAATACTATATTTTTATTTTTATTTCGTCAAATTGTGTTCGGGACGAATAACAACATCGGACGCTATTTTACAAATTTATCGTAACACAGTTCAACGAATATTGTTATAGATCCCACGCGAGTACCTATAGCAAGCTGTCTGACGTCGGACAGGTATACACACTACACTCACGTTAAAAAAAAATACATGCCTAATATATATATATATTATAATATGTATATTATATTAATGATGCTTAAAATAATAATCATAATACAAAATATATACTCACGTTAAACCGATTAAAGAATTATAATGTTTACCACTCTACGAATTGTTATTAATTAAATATTCGTAAAATACTTCGAAACCGCACGCGCGCCTGATTTTGAGTTGCTGTGAAAAAAAATAATATTAATTATAACTAATATATAAATTCTTTTGTTATAATAATATGACGCTAGTAGTTTTAACCCACTGAATTCGTCGATGTCTGTTTAACACATTTTAATAAACAAAGAACCCACCAAAAATATTCAATCTAACTTAACAATCAAGTTACATTATAATTTATATTACCATATTAAATATACCTATATTAAATTGAAAAGTGCATAGGTAATTTAGGAGCGCCAGGCAATAGTGTACCCAAGTTTCAGTTGTAAGGTGGGTCGAAGAAGGGGTAACAATGTAACATGAAGGGCAGATGCGCATCAACAATATTATAGTACCTATGAAGTATATTTAAAGTATCTACTAAATAAATAATAATTAAAAGTTTCTTATTAATCTTACATATTATATTATAATTTATAATATTCATATTTCAAATCTCTACTCTTTTCTGCTGACTTCTGATGTGATGTTTGTGTAAAAGCATCTATTGGTTTTAAAAATGAATCAATCATCTTAATCATTATAGAAAACAGACACTAAATTACAAAAATTAAAAAACAAATTTTATGAATTTTAAAATAGTTTTAATGAATTATAAAATGACCTATACATTTTTGTACCGATCTTAGCCTATGTTAAAATATAGCTTGTACAATTTTACTCAAAGTTCATAGTAGGTATTCGATATATGCGTTAAATTTTTTATTGTAATATGAGTTGAAATGGTCATGTAATATGTAATCATAACTAGTTATGCGTTTATGCACTCTAAATTTATAAGTCATAAATGCCATATTATTTTGTTAATACACAGTATAAGATCTATTTATCTAGCGGTAAATCAATCATTTTGTTAGCATGGTTTATTAGGGCTGGGTGGTTTCACTGAAAATGCACCCTCTGTAATTACAGCAGAAACAAATTATTCATACCTTTCTACGTAAAAGAGAATTAGAAGGCTCCTTCTATCTTAATTAAAACATTTTAAATATTCTTTCAGTGAAAATTTTGAGCATAAAAATATTAACGACCTATGTGGTTAGTAAGACTGTGACTGAGTCGTTCATACGCAAATTGACAAATTATAAAGAAAAGGAAACAGCTGAGATCATGATATTATGATCTAATAACATGTTAAGGTATTAAAGTCTCCATTCTGAAATGGATTCTTGAAACTTATGGGTAAAATTTAAGTCCTAACCTGAATTTATACTTTTTTTTATCTTTTATTTATTTGCCTATTCTCCTTACGTTTAGCAAATTGTTCTTTTCTTTATTTTTTTTTCGTAAATAACTATTATCCATTGTTAATAATTGTATTTAGAGTACTTACTTTGTGACTCAGTGCCTCCGCCACATGCCTAGTTTAAGGGAGGTATTTATAATTTCACTCCTGTGTATAACTTGTATTAGTTGTATTTATGTACACTCATGCAGAAATAAAATAAAACCATATTCATATCAATTATTGTGACAGAAAGTTCATTTCATACATTTCGATTGTCATAATATTTAATTATTATAGAAAAAAGATTGCTTACCATTGGAATAAAAAAAATTAAATTAACAAATAATTTAATAGCTATAAAGCCAGTGAAGTTTTTTTTTCATTATTTTATAAAGTTTTAAAATATATTTTATACTAATTTATAACCAATTAATAAAAGGTACCTTTTTGGTTATTTTCTTTAATTTTATAAACAAATATCGTTTGTCCGTTCAATAGCCTAATTTATGAACTATAATTTAATTTTAAAATAACGAACTTAAACATTCCGTTAAGTGTATTTTGTACTTTATCATATTGAAATGCAATTAAAATATGAGTTTATTTTTTTATCACCTAAATGTTGAAATTGTATTATACATTTTTAAATTGCTTCTAGATTTTTTTAATTTTCGAAGATGTAGGTATTCATATTACATAGTATTGTAAAGACGTAAAGTATTAAGTATTAGAGTAAATATATTTGAATACTTCGATTGTATTTGTAATACTTTTCAAACACTTTTCAAATGAAGTGTTTGGAAA